CAGAAGAAAATACTTTTGTTTTGTTTTGTGTGATGGTTGTTTATCGATACATTCTAGGAGCAGCAGTAAAGAATTTTCAGAATGTTTTAGCACATCATAAGATATTAATATAAATCCTCTAGGAGGAAGAGGACTCCATTAAACATCTATATGAGAAAAGACATTTCTGACCAGTTCCCAGGACTGTGGAAAAGAAAAAAAAAAAAAAAAAAATATATATATATATATATATAAAAGCCTTCCTCCGCCCTTCCTCTATGGACTGGCACATGGAATAGAGAAGTCTTTTCCTTTCCACCTTTCCAGCCTCACTGCTAGATGGTAAAATATTACCCAAGTATTTCGTGTCTGTTTGGAATCAAGTTGTGAAGAACGGAGCTGCTCTCCTAGAAATATTGATTTTGTCATTAAGAGCAAGACTCTTTTTCTGATTGTTTAGTTTGGGGAATGAGGAATGTTGAGAGAGAGGTATGGGAGTTGCTCTAATATAAACACAAAACTACTGACAAGGACAAAACAGTGGCACATCCTCTGGGAAATGGTGGAGCCTATTCCTTATAGCATATTTCAGTTGAGTTTTGCAAATTCATCTGGTTTTTGCCATTATTCCACTTAATTAGAAAGAAACAAGTCATTGTTGTCAGTTCTTTCTCAATTCCTTGGTTGAAGAATTGAGCAGAGACATGGGAATTATCATTCTTGAACCCCTATCCTAGGTTTAGCGATTTTCTTCATAGAATTAGAGGTTACTCAGTCCCTAGTCAATCTTACCGCGTGCACAAGGGATGCATTGGAATTTGAAAGAATAATTAGATGTGCACAGAATATAAAATCTAACATATATCTGTGTACAGCTATAAGAACTTTTACTGTTTTTGGAAACTGAAACGGTTTACTAGTGAAATGCATTTACTCCTGGACTCATGGCATATTTCCCGTATTGACAATGCAGGTGGCTGTAGGCCCTTGTGGTTGGGGTCTTGTTGAGTGCCTGTAGGGCATTTTTATGCCTAGGGAGGAATGGGATAGCCCCGCATCTGAAGCCTGTGGACAGATGTGAGCTGGAGATCAAATCTTGTGAGAAATCACTTTTGGGTGACATTAAAACATGGCATTAGCCACAATTACCTGTACACACTTGAGAAAGCCCTGGTTTGACTTTATAACCCTAGACAAAACCAGCAGTTAAGGGGCAGATGGGGGGAGATCCCAGGAGACCAAGCCACTCCTGTTCACTTTTCTATGTCTGAGGAGTCAAAGGAGTAAATTTAAAAGAAGGGGAGTAGCCAACAGTGCCCACTGCAGCTTTGAGAACTATTAGGTAAGGCCTGAAGGGTGTGCATTGGTTGATGCTAAACAACTAGTCTGTTTAGGACAGATGTTGGAAGCATTATCAAATGATTTATTTTGTGCCCCTGCCAGAGGGTAGAAGCAGGCTGAGGGTGGCAGCCGATGTTCGATCGCCATCTTAGAGAGATAAAGTAAAGGAATTCTTTCATTGGGTAAAAAGTTAATTATGAAGCTTAACTCTTCTGGAAATCTAAGATTCTTCTGTGCTAGCTAGTATCAAGGTTGCCCAACTTTGAATAATTGGCAATAGGGCTTGAACAGCAGGATTTTTTAGTCTCCTCTAGGGTTTCTCATGAGTTAGAAATGGTAACCTGTTAAAGTGGGATACTCTGATTTGTTCTGTAAGCCATTTTGTTTTATTTTGTTTTTATTTTTTTAAAGATTTTATTTATTTATTTGAGAGAGAGAGAATGAGAGACAGAGAGCATGAGAGGGAGGAGGGTCAGAGGGAGAAGCAGACTCCCTGCCGAGCAGGGAGCCCGATGCGGGACTCGATCCAGACACTCCAGGATCATGACCTGAGCCGAAGGCAGTCGCTTAACCAACTGAGCCACCCAGGCGCCCAAAGATCACCCTGTTCTGTAAGCCATTTTAGATGTGCATAGGAACACACACCCTTTCGTATGCACACACTCAGCCTAAACAGCAGCGTGCAAATAACGTGTACTCATCTGTTTAGCAATTCACTTTGCTTTTTGACTTTTAATTCAAACTAAACATTAGTATAAGAAGTTTTGATAATAACCCATGAACTTCATCCTTTTTAAAAGGTAGTGTGGCTCTCTTCCTGTACTGTAACCATAGCAACTGACAAGGAACAGAGAAAGAAAGCTTTCACACACGCTGTGCTAATTAATCCTGTCCTACAGTTTTCCTTCAGCTGGAGGATGCAGTTTAATAAATTCTGCATGAGTAAGTATGTTTTGATGCATGACTGTAAATACATGGCAATATCTTTACCAAAAATATTTATTAAAAATATAGTTATATATTCCTACTTCAAGGTATACTCTTTTTTTGATTCATTGCTTTAATAATTTGTTCCCTCCCTGAAAAATTTGGGATCTATATATCTTTTTAACTGAACAGACATATTTTTAAGATGAAAGCCTTTTGTTTATCACCATATAGGACACCTTCCACAAGAAAATGTCTTAATTGACTATATTGAAGTGAGATGATAGAAGAGTTTTTCTCAAGCGATGCAAAGGAATATGTCTTAAAAATATAGTAACATTCTTCAGTATGACACATTAACATGCAAACCATTTTAAGAAACTGCCTTAGCACGTTAAAAAGTTAGATATTGCAAACTCATTTTCACTCTTGATTTGGGAAGTTATATGACCCATATCAGTGGTGTTTGGGTAGTCCCTTGACCTAAACGTGTGGGAAGGAGGAGAATAATGGAAACAAAGAGCTTTTCCTTTTCATATTTTTCAGACATATTTAACCACTTTTACAAACTAATTTTCAGAGTAAACATACTTGACCTGAAATCACATAATTATTTAGATTTACACTATTTCTAGGTTATTTTGAAGTCTTGTTCTCTCTTTAAACTGGAAATACCACAGTTTTCTTTAACTAGCCTGGTCTTCTAAGCTGTTAAAGAAAATCTCAGAGTTTTTTCATTCTCCTATTCCTCTAGCCTAGCTTTCTGTCAGCAGGGCCTCAGAAAAACCAATAGGATCCAGCCTGAATGTTTTTGGCATCCCATTTCACATGACAAGAGCATATGGAACGAGTCAGAACCTATTTCAAGGACTTGTACTTAGCTCTTTGGTCTCTGTATAGAAACATGCTCATTTGAGGAGCTAAATCTTTTTTTATTATTATTTAATTTTATTTTATTATGTTATGTAAGTCACCATACATCATTAGTTTTTGATGTAGTGATCCATGATTCATTGTTCATTGTAACTAAATCTTTTGATGGGATTATTAAATTCTGGAAACACTTTACCATCCTGATTGTCCTATCTGTTTAGTTTTACCTGAATTTAGGTAGGTTAAAACGTTGTAGAGAAAAGTAGAGGTTACTATGGAAATCTATTATTAAATAGTTGTTCCATTCATGTGCAGAAAAGTAGGGTACCATATATATGTATGTATGTGTATAGTCTGTACATGTTAATATAGAATACTTATCAACATTAACCAATTTATAATATACCATTGTATTATAAAAACTGAATTGTAGAAAAAATTGAGTTACTGTAACCATAGCTGAATTAACTAGAAATTATTTGTCTCATCAGCTGTCCTATTAATTTTAACATTTTCATATAATACAGTAAAGGGAATATCAAGTGTTTAATAAACAGGAGAAAAATCATGTTCCTAAGTAGTACATAAAAATATACATAATCAACATTAAAAGGAATATGTAATGGTACATTTATTGTAAAAATGTTATAGGTGCTTTGAGCCTCACAGTGATAAATAATACTTTTCGCTTGTTATTAATGAACATACCCAGATAGAAAGCTATCACACGGATTTTTTTTCTTTTGAAAAAGAACATCTACAGATTTTGTGATTTTTTAAAAGGAATTATATATTCATTGTAGAAAACTTAGGAAAAAAACCTTGAAAAATGTATTAAGTAAAGAAAAAAAACTGGGGGGGCACTGGGGTGGCTCAGTCAGTTAGGCATCCAAGTTTTGATTTTGGCTCAGGTCATGATCTCAGCGTCATGAGATCAAACCTTATATCGTGTTCACGCTGGGTGTGGAGCCTGCTTAAGACTCTCTCTCTCCTTCTTCCTCTGCCCACCCCCTCCCCCAAGTAACAACAACAACAACAACAGAAAAGCCCAAAACTGGATAATCCCATTTTCCAGAGCTAACCACTAAACAAATAGTTTCTGCCAATCTTTTTTCTATGCTAAAGTATTTATGGTTATGAGGTCAAATTGCACGCAATCCTTCACTTAACATATTACTGTGACCATTTTCTCAATTTCTAAAATTCTTAGAAAACATTTCAATTTATTCTACGGTATCTCATCATCTCTGTGTTCCAAATTTAACTATTCCTTTATAGTTATTTATGTAGGTCATTTTCAAATGAGTTTCCTGAACATTTCCCAGTAAGTATTTGTCAGAACACTGAAAGAAAAAGTAGTTTTGGGACAACCCTTTGAGAAAAACCTCATATTTTCTTCTTTCAGATTCATAATATATATTAGAAAAAGCAAGGGCACTAAGAAGTCTCACAGTATGAAGACCTGTTTTAACTTTTTAAACCATCTTTTCCCAAAATCATTTGACATTGGAATCTTTTCTCCTAATACTTACTTATAACCCATAGCACTAGGGCTCCATGAAACATTCTTCGGGAAGTCCAGGAGATTTCTAAGCTTCTGTGTAATGTCTAATAGTTTATGAATTGTTTGTTTACTTTCCTGGGATTTTATCAGGTTTATGATGCTTGATTAGGAAATATAAGTGACTATTGGTTATTAGCATTATTTGAAACAGACAGCAATGTACTTTCCCCAGCCTTTCTAGTAACATTGACAATGCATTTGTGATTCTGTATTACAATGTCATGTTTGACCTTTTTAAAACTGTGAGCATTCAAATTTAAATTTCCTTGTTCTATTAATGCCTATTAAACTTCTTTGTGTTTCCTTTAATCCACAGGTCTTGCAAGAGCAAAATCCGTCCCTAGCCACACATACTCCAATGAAGTGGTTACCTTGTGGTACAGACCTCCAGATGTCCTCCTGGGCTCGACAGAGTATTCCACCTGCCTTGACATGTGGTGAGAAATGGAAGATTTACTCTAGCTAATTTATCTGTATTTCGTGGTCTGGGTCATGCCTAGACAAACATTCTAACAGTTTGAATGAAGATTAATGGTGCAGGAGTGTTTGCCTGTGTGTGGTAGGATTGCTGGATTTAAAAAAAAAAAAAAACATGATTGGGAATATTCCCTAATCAGAGGCTCCCCTGCAGATGGTGTCTGATAATGGTTCTTGATGGACAGGGGCAGAGATATTTTTCTGTCAGTACAGTGATTTTTCTCCCTAAGGGTCTTAATTTGTAGCTCTGTTTTATAACAAGGAGGCGTATATCTCCAAACAGTAGTATGGGTTGGAAATAGAGAAAGTGTGTTGCAATCAACAACAAAGCTCAGATTAAGTGGCCTGAAAATTTTGGTGTTACTGTTAGTCACTAAATTTGGTGTAGTACACTCTTTTTTTTTTTTTTTTTTAAGATTTTATTTATTTATATGAGAGAGAGAGTGAGAGAGAGAAAGAGCACGAGAGGGGGGAGCGGGAGAGGGAGAAGCAGACTCCCTGCCGAGCAGGGAGCCCGATGCGGGACTCGATCCTGGGACTCCAGGATCGTGACCTGAGCCGAAGGCAGTCGCTTAACCAACTGAGCCACCCAGGCGCCCCTGGTGTAGTACACTCTTGAGAACTTGGTACAAATTATCCAAAATGAAACAAAACAATTACTTTTTAAAAATATCACAGTAAGTTTAATTTCAATAGAGTCTGTTTCACACGATGGTTTAGCAAAACTTAAAAACCTGTTTAGGAGGCCCAAAGACTGACAAGATTTAATGCATAATTATTATTAATTATAAGGTATAATGAATTCCCGGAGTGCCTGGGTGGCTCAGTTGGTTAAAAGTCTGCCTTTGGCTCAGGTCATGATCCCAGGGTTCTTGTGTTGGGTTCCCCGCTCAGCGGTGAGTCTGCTTCTTTCTCTCCCTCTGCCCTTCTCCCCACCCACACTTGTGCTCCCTCTTTCTCTCAAATAAATAATTTTTTTTTAAAAATCTTGAAGTATAAAGTATAATGAGTTTCCAATCCAGTGTGATCTAAATCAAATAATCAAGTAAGGGAATAATCTTATTTTTAGTAGTCAGGAAAGTCTTCCTAGAGACTTGAAAATGTCCTCTATTAATAGAAAAATCCCTTTTCTAGACCCACAGTTGTGTTCAAAGTAAAACGATTCACATTGCACTTGTGCTATTTTATCATAGGAATCTTCTTCCATGAATGATTATGCCCCCATATATGAAATTCAGTTACATGTTCTTACAATGTTTATGACCTCAATAAAACTTTAGCATGTGTTATGCATCTTCCTGCCATGTACTTACTTCACTGTTCTTCCCTCAGTAATCTTGGCTTTTAGTAAATTAGGCTGTAATGAGACCTGGCATCTTTCCTGATGTTTTTGATCCAAACATTTTACAGTAAGAAAACAATCAAGTTCCTTGTGATGTAGGGCACAGTGTAGATTTTCTTAATTTAGGCTCCAGCAAACTCCCCCCGCCCCACCAGGAGTAAGATTTCAGGATCTGTAAAGCCACTGAGAATATATGCAACATTTATGTACACATGGATATATTTATTTTTATGGGGTGTAGATCTGTAGCTTTCAGTAGAGCTATAAAAGAATCTGGGTCATCAAACAGCCTAAAATCTATTGTCATAAATTTTGTAATGCCTCATAATAAATCTAATACCAAGGTAATGCATATTCCAAAACACTGAGAATAAAGATGACCATCTATCATTAAGAAGCTGAGCCGATTCATTTTTCCATTACACTTTTTGGCTTTTTTTTAAAGATGGTTGTTCACACAATTAAATTTTTTTTTTCCCCCAAGAGTAAGCAGAGGCTTGGGCAAAAGAGGTATTTTGATCTTTAGTCATAATGGGGGAAAAGGTTGGAAATAAGGGTCAGTTATCAGGATATCAGTTACTACCTTTCTCATTCCCTACTTCCTTCCTGCCTTACAGTTGAGAGTTGGCTGTACAAATAATCATTAGTTAATATTCTTGAGTTATGGAGTGTTTTTATTTTTTGAGTATGAAAATTCTTGGTTGTCTTTTAGTGAGGTCGGTTAAGGACTCTGCTAATAGAACATAGTTTGGAAATATTTGTGACTTGGAGACGGTTTTGTCTTAGTGCTTGGCAGTTAAGTCTCTACACTCATAATCAGAAGAAGCTGTTTTTTATACATTAGTGGCTAATTTTTTCCAAACCTTTAAAAGTGCTCTTTAAAGTACAAAGAACCACATGGATTTTGACTTGCTGATATGCCTGTTTCTGATATATGGTATTTGATTTCCGCCCACCCATCCTTTTTTTCTTTAATGTGTGTCTGCGTGTGTGTGTGTGTGTGTGTGTGTGTTCATCCTCTTGAAGAAGGCTTAGGTTCTTTCTGCCTATTTGCTTTAAACAGAGACATAATGAAGCATAAAAAGAAGACTGTTATTTAAGTGGAAGGTAGGAAAACTGATACAAAATAGAAGACCCCAAATGCCCTTTTGTCTGCATGCCAAGGTTATTCATTGCCAAAACCAAATAGTAAATGTGTTGTGTTTGAGCAGTTCCCATGCTTATTGGCTTTCTATTTTCAAGCCCTAAAATCTGAGTTCTGTCTATGCCATTCCTGTCATTCTGACTCTGATTTCATTCCAAGCCATTTTCTAAAAGCCATTTTGTTATTATTCTATAAGTCTGAGAAAATGTATGTATTTTTCCGGTTAGAAGTTCACAGGCACTGATTTTTGCATAATCAATGACATCGATGCTGGGTATTCACAGAACTAGATATGGGACTATAATTGAGTCATGGCTCAGCTGCACCAAAGAGAAGTGCAAATATGAATGCATGGACAATAGCGGGGAGGCAGGTGGTAGTGGGTTCAGGCTATTTTTACAGTTCATTTACCATCCTGGGGCAGTAGGGTAGTAACTAAAAACTAACGATCCCTGCACAGTGTTACATTACCCAGTTTTCTGTTTGAATAGCCACAGGCAATAAAAATATTAATGAAGACACATATGCATTAACGTTGGCAGCAAGTGATGGAAAATCAGAGCTCGCCGTGTGATGATTTACTGCTCTAGGTCTCCAGCACTGTGGCAGTGTGGAAATATACATACAGTTCGAGAACTCAGCAGGAAATGTAGGTTTTTGATACCTTTGTCTCCCTCCGTGAAGGAGGATTTAAGCAGAGGAATCAAACTGGACATTGTCTCACGTATAACTTCTCTTAATTCTTGGATTTTATAACTCTTTGAAAGTCAAGGCGTAGGAAATCATCTTTAAGCTTCAAAACCAAAAGGCTTATGAAGGACTGAGAACCACATTATGAGAAGTGCCAATGTGAAAAGCAGCTTATCTGTGTAGTTCCTCCCCCGCCAAGGAGTTCTGCTCTAGCTGTCGAGGTCATTGCTCTAAATGAGCTTTAGGTTTCTTTATAGAAGCTCAGAAATATGTTTAGAGGGGCATTTGTTTTCTCAAGCGGAAGGTCACTTGGGATTATTTTAAGGGATTAATTTGTAACATATGGTGACTAATGTAGCTAATAAATAATAGTATCTCATCAACATCACAGTGCTTCTGGGGGCCACGCTGTGTTGGGTAGGGCCACGCCCTACCTTGTGGCCCTACCCAACACAATGTGTGAAGAATGAGAGCGCACAAGTCTCTGCCTTTCACCATCTTTTTAGAAGCTAATTAACATATTAACTATGCTTGTCAAAATGTGGGGCAAATCATTTATAAATAAGCCTGTCAAATGTAATGAGATGCATATTAAATCATTCTTTTCTCTATTACGTCTCTGATTTAAGATTAAAATTAATTTTTTTAACATTGTAGCAGCTGGATGGTTAGAAAAAGATTTCCATACCAGTCTTGATATATAGAAAAATGACTGCTTCTAAATTGATTCTGCAAAAATCAGTAAAGAAATTACCTATTTATTGAGTATTATAAGGCCATTTAGCATTGATTTCTACTAAATAAGACTAATCACCATACATATTGGCAATGTATGGAGTTCTGCCATCATCCTTAATGACCACTCCTGAACCAAGGAAATTTATGTAATAAAATAAGATTTCCTAGGACTCCGGTTTGTTTACCACTGTTTTAAGAGAGAGAATCATAAATGAGTTCTACTGTAGCCCCCACCCAGAATATAAATCTGTTCTATATGAGGTTCTGTCTTGAGTAACTGAGTGACAGTATTAATAGTAGTGGAGTCTTAAGAAACAGTAATCATAATAGTAACAATAATAGATATCTTCTTGGACACAAACTGGATTCTAAGTTTCTCTTGTGCATTTTTATCTTATATATTTTAATTACTATCCTGCACCATTATACAGTGGAAGAAAACAAAACACAGAGAGACTAAATAAGATAGTAAAGTTCATTTAGTTAGTAAACAGAGGTAACATGCAAATTTAGGGCTAACTCACTGCAAAGCCCTTTCTTTTTACACCATATTACATAATCTCTTCTTAAGATGATTTCTAAGAAACTGGTTTTTATTTTACTGGTAAAGTGATTCTAAAACACAAATACGGTAAAATTCCATTTTTATAGTTTAGGTTATGCTCTGAGTCATTTTGGATCCTTTACGTGCTTTGAATAAAGTAGGTGGCCTTCACTCTCACTCAGCTGGTTTATGGACTGCCTTTCTCCACTCATGTCAGTGTTCTGTATCATATAGTTTTATTAAAGGAGGAATTTCTTTGAAATAAACTTATGATGTGAATCACTGGATTGAATGCATTTTCATGAGACCAGTATCGATGCTGGCATGTATTTTCCCAACTCTTAAACATTACTCACTCACCACTGCTGCTAAAATGAATGAATCCATTTAAAAAAGAATGGTAGTGGGGCACCTGGGTGATGCAGTCAGTTGGGTGTCCGGCTCAGGACGTGATCTCAGGGTCATGATCTCAGGGTCCCGAGATCGAGCCCTGCATCCGGCT